ACATACCTTACGAGCACAATACAGCATAACCAGAGRGGCATCCTCTGAGAGCTATGCCCTCACTGGGGAGCTACACCCAACTAACTCAAAGGGAAGACTAATTTTAACCCTATATTTATACTAACTGCAAAACATGCACAGGAAATGTAAACATGGCAAGCCCTACAGGAAATATGTCATGCATTCCTATAAATCCTACAATTAGACCCTGCCTTAAATCTAATTAGTAGCTAAGAAATCCTAAATACTATATGAAACAAAATGACTAAGCAAATAGAGTGAATTGCTAGTAACTCCTAATAGTTTAAAATAGTAATGCCACAAACTAGTTCTAGGTTGAGGCCTAAGAATACGTGTCCTTGTGACAACTTGACAATGTTAAACTAAATCCAATTATCAAACAAGATTATTATCTGCTTGTTGATGTGACAGGAAATTACATCACATGAGTATTGCATGACTCAGGTTCTAATCCCAAGATATCGTGACAGYAACAAAATAAGCCCTTTTGACTAAATCATATCTTAGATTTGCAGTAAAACAGTTTTAACTACAAAACAAATGCTTAATTATGTAATCCAAAAATTACTGACATTGGTCACGAAAGTGACCCTGTCACATTAATACATTTTCTGCAATTGGACATTAGCTTCCAGTCTCCTCGCAGCCATTCTTAGTGAGGCTGGGGACAGGGAGCCCACCACTAAGAACGGCTGCGAGGAGACTAATTGGCTTGTGGTCTATTCGTTTTTCAACATTAACGAAAAGTCTTTGAATATCTATAGTTAAAATAATACATTGAAAAGATAATTCATTTTTGTCAGGTCATGTCGTGGATAAAAACTGTATTATACTATTATTTTCTTTTATAAATTCATAGGTTTTTGTATTCAGAAAGAACGGCAAGCATTTTTTAAAATGGCTTGTAAAAGATTTATTTAGCCAATTGAGAATTGCTTGTTTTTTTTATTTGTCTAAAAATGTCTCAGGTCAATTTGTGCTTTCAAAACCTGATTTGGCTGGTCATCTAGCGAATTTGGAAGGACATTGTCCTTTGACCAGCCATTATTTCGAGCCCTGTTTTACAATAAATTTGAAATTTGAAACTCAGATGTTTACTCTAAATTTCTCTCAATGAATGTGATTCTTAACATTGTGCTGCRTGTACATTGTGTTGGGTCAATTATCCAGGATATTATTCAGCTTGCCATCTTGTTATTCCGTTTGTTTTGTGTGCAACTAGACATAGTAAATAATTTCTACTTATAAATCACATGGAGAAATTATTTACTCTTGACATTTTAAGATCAATACTCCAGTTTCGAATAGCGCAAAACCGCTGCTTTATTTAACAACAGATTCTCTTGCGCAAAGACCTGACCAAACACAAAAGAGAGCACGAGAAAATGTCGTTATTACAATAGACTTGAAAATTTGCATTATCCCCGAGTTGCATGAGACTAACCCTGTATTCCCATGAGACCTAAGGTATGAGCCTTCTGGGAATACAGGGTTAGCCTCAACTCGGGGAAAATGTAAATTGTTAGCACTATTGTACAAGCAACATTTTCTCATGCTTTCTTTTGTGTTTGGTAAGTTCTTTGCATAAGAGARTCTACTGTCGAATAAAACAGCGGTTATTMGCTTTGAATTCGAAAATTGAGTATTATRGGAAAACAAYACTAATGGRTCAKCTTATTATGAAACTGTTTRTGCTTTGGGATYCCTGTGTCAATCTCTKTTTCCATGTCCACAGACCGATCTGGGATCGTGGGAGGACACAWCGGGAGGATGGGATGAAAATGAAATAACAGAAAGGGAAATCGAATGGGAAACTGAAAATGTCATAAAACAGAAAAAACAAGCCGAACGTGAAAGACGAGCGCTAGAGCARCAAAGACGTAAAGAAGAGCGAGAAGCGCTTCGTTTATCAAAGAAAAACCAGCAACATCTTGGAGTAAAAGTCAACGCCTGACCAGACATTATGAACACTAATGAATGGATAATATCCAGTAATCAATCTGTTTGCCAGGGAAAATCTTTGGGTTACTCAACAGTCGGTATTTTGAACTCAATTTCATAATAATTTAATTTAAGTTTTTAGTAATTTATGTTCTCCCGTGTCAAGTGAATTATTAAGGCTACTTGGACGAAATTTGCAAAACATTAGGGTGCTTTCCATTTAGGCAGAACTGGCCGGCCAGTCCACTCTATTTAGAGGTTTTCGAGGTTTTCTGTAGAATAATGGATAGAATTAGAAAATTTGAATTTCCTAACTAAATGGGAATGATATATAATGACATTTTCTCTGGGTCTGGCCAGCCAGTTCTGACAAATGGAAAGCGCACTTAGAAAGGACTTTGAAATCAAATAGACATATCCATATCAGTCTAATAATCATGAAGCCAAAGATTTTAAGAAGATATTGATACAAATCCTTAATAATTTAGGCAAAAAATGTTGGAGTAAATGACGTTATTTAGTCCATCCTTTTGTTCTTCCATCTTTTGAATCGAAATTTCTCTGATATCGGATAATGCCAAAACAAATAATTTCCCGCAATATAGATATAAATGAGTTATATATTTGTATTGCTTGAGGCTTTGAAATAAGGGCATTTTCATGCAAGTAGCACTTTAACAATGCAAAACGTCACGGAAATGCAGAAGAGAAGGCGATTACTTTGAGAAATGATTTTCTGTGCGTTGTCTTTTCTGGAAAAGTAGCCGTGTATTTGCGTCGAAACAAGACGACTGGTTAGCTTGGGGTGAATGCTGTCGATGATAGTCGGCCTCAGTATCCTAAAAGAGGTGTTGTCATTGCAAGCTTGACTGACAGGTCGTCTTACTTCGATGTCTTGCTTCTCTGTGAGGAGACGCAAACGAATGTAAAGGATGCTTTTTTYGKRTGCACGTAAGACAAGTTTGTTTTTATTGCAATAAAATATTTGCATCGGATTTCAACAGGCTCGCACCTAATCGTTCTTCTTTTTTCTCTGGTGCGCGCAAAGGATCAAGGGAAATCGAAAGTACTCCGGACTTCCCTTGATGCAACGCGACCCGTAAAAACGAGCTAGAGAAACGACTGGTTACGAGTCTGGGATTTCAAAGCCGTACATATCTGAATATGCTACAAAAATAATTTCCAACGTCCTCATTTTCTGCGCTGCAAGACAAGGAAGCTGCTTTGTTAACGCATTAACTTTTAAGTAAAAGTAAAAGTCTGAATTATACTAACAAATGAGTAAGCTTATTTAACATTTTACAAAAGAAAAAAAGAGATGAAGAGAACATATAAAAGCAGCTATGAATTAATATCTTGTCGCAATTTTAAGGCAAAATTCCCGACTGAAATCCAGACGACAAGTCTAGTGTTGAGTGTTAGTCATTAAGCCCACCAACAAACGGTTTCCGAAGTTATTTTCTCTTTGAATACATCTATATAAATATTTGTTACTTCTTTGCTGTCTGGTGTGTTTCCACGGATGGACAGCGAAGACTATTACTATAATAAATAACTATTACGAAACATTTTGTGTATATCTAAAAACCTACATCTTCCCATAGTTTGTAGAGGGGACAGTCCCCTGTACTAACTCTGATCTTCCCGAGTTGAGTTGCCTAGGGAGGGAAGCTAGCGAACACACTGTCCTTATACACTGTAAAAAATCGCGCGCTTTAAAGGTTGTAAATTTGATGTAAATATGATGTAAGTGTCCGAAATTCTGTAAATTTGATGTTAATGATTTCCATTAAATTTACAGAATTTTGGATACTTATACATCATATTTACATCAAATTTACAACCTTTAAAGCGCGAGATTTTTTCCAGTGATATCAGCTGAATTTTGATTCGTATAGCTGATTATCATGTAAATGTGCATATCTAATCGAACTTGAATTCTGTTYATGATCAAGATATAGAAATAAAGAGTATAGTCTTGAGCTTTTCATTTGATAGATTTTGGTATTTGATAATGACAGCAGTTCACAGCCTCAGGGGCCGAATTTTGTTTTGAATTTTTATAATTCCTTTGGACTTGTTTTAAGTACCTGTAGGCACCAATTGCTGTCTCTGTTGTTATCATATAAAGGTATGCAACAAATTTCACATCGCGGTTATGATATGACAATAAATKTATGTAATATTAGTAATATCGCAAAAGATTTGAAAGTTTCGTGTGTTATATGACGTCACCCGTCCCGTGAATCTATTGTCTGCCATTCTATTCTCTTCTAAGTCTCTTCCTTTTGTAACACCGACATCGCTGTGGCGAACATTTTTGACTGCAAAAATGACTGTAAGAATTTATCAGTATTTAATGAGATTGTACTTTTAATGTGGTTTGTATTAACTTCAGTGTAGGTACTGTAGATATATGGTGTTGGTTCATTGATACCTGTACAGTTTTACTCACGATTGTATTCATGCCCTGGTCTTCATTGACACCATGTTACGTATATTTTCAGCAAATTTTGTTAAAAAATATTAATCCTTATTTTTGTTAATATCAATCATCACAGTATTGTTATGATAGAAAAAGATCTGAAAGTTTTTGCATATTATTATACAACGTCACGTCC